TATTTTTTCCCAAGATTGCAACATGCAGTAATCCAAGGAGGGGGCAACCTGCAGCATGGGTGCCACAAGTGGCAGGGGCAGCCTGTGTGTGTGGCACACAGCAGACTGGGGAGGGGACAGGCTGCACTGCAGCAGCCAGCTCAGGGAGCAGAAAGAAAAGCAGCAAATTGGACGGGGCGGGGGCAGGGCCCACAGGGAAGGAAGCAGAAAACAGAGCAACAGATCAGGGAAGGGAAAGGGATCAGAGTGGAAGTTGGGGAGAATGTGGGACTAATTTGTGGCACTCCTGCTACAAACCTAGGCCTCACTGCTGTAATCAATGCTCTAGAACAGGCATAGGCAACTTGTTCCAGCTCAGGACCGGGTGGGTGCTAAAACCCAGCCACCACTCCCTACGAAGCCACAGGGAGAGCACCCACAACCAGTGCTTGTCTCCTGAGGGTCACGGGTGGAGTGCCTGCAGCCAAAGCCCTCTATGGCTGAATACCACTACAGCCCCATGTCTGCCAGTCAGATCCAATGGTTCCACAGACCAGATCTCGCCCAAAGGCTATAGGCTGCTGACCCCTGCTACAGAAGAGCTAAGTGTTACCGTTATTTTACATATGGTTTAAATAAAAACAAAGCCAAAATGCTTCTTTGTACACAGACTTTTGTCAGGTGAGGGACTGATCTTCCCCTAAATTATAACATCAGGATGACAATTTTATCCCTGCATTTTACAAGGCCTTTGGTAAGACCCATAGGGTGAAACCAATAGGATTTTATAGAAACTATGCTCAGATCCTATGGAATTCAGTAAGGAATGAGGCACTTTCTTTATTTTTTATAACCAGCCAGAGTACAAATAGCTATTAAATGCTGTAGAATGATTAATAAAGCTTATACAATAAGTAATTGTCTGTTAGGTTCTATATGTTCCTTATAGGAAAAGATCTATCAAAAGAGCTGCAATGGTTAGTGCAGATTTCTTGGTTTCACTAGTAACTTGTCTATTGACTAGTTGCATGACCTTGAACAAATTGCTCTTACTAAAGTGTTGGAAGGTTTATTTGTTGCACATAAAGTGCTTTAAGATACTTAAATGAAAGACACTAGGTGCATCTATACATGCAATTAATGCGCACAAATAAACTCCAGAGCTTATTGCTCCAGAGTTTTTTGCTCCCAGGTGCTCCATTTGAACATACACCTGGGATAAAAAGCTCCAGAGCATATTGCTCCAGATTTTATTCATTCACAGCATGTAGAGCCCTGTTGGAGTAGCCCTGGGCTGGCTGGGGAATGAGGGTGCTTCAGTGTGGGGACTGCCTGCCGGCTTGCCCCACACTGAACACCCTGTGCCCCAGCCAGCTGGGGCAGTGTCTACATGTGCTCTGCTGTGCAACAAAAACTCCACAGTAAGGTAGTACTTGTATTTACAAGCACTTATATTTACTTGCAAAAAAGTATTGTGCTTTTTTGTGCTGCAGAGTTTTTTATGCATTTTTTTGCACTTAAACTGAGGCACACAGTTTAAGCAATTTGTTCAAGGTCATGCAGCTAGTTAATAGACAAGTTACCAATGAAACCAAGAAATCTGCACTAACCATTGCAGCTCTTTTCATAGATCTTTTTCTCATATCCATTGTATTGGTGGGTAAACTGAGGCACTTGTAAACTGTATTCACAAGTACTGTCCCTCTGCAGAGTTTATTAGTTGCATGCACTCTAAAAGGGGTACATACGTAGACAGTGAGATGTTTACTGCACAGTTAATTAGCCAACTGTGCAGTAAATGTCTTGTGTATACGCAGCCACTGTGTTGAGTATGATAAGATCAATGTGTTACCATTATCAGATCTTTTAAGAGTTAATATATCAACTGCATGGTTATGACTGTACAGCTGGATTCAAATACATTTTCATAAGCATTACGTAACAGTTGTAAAGTTACATGCAGATCAGTTTGTTTTTTACTAGTTTTAAAATTTCAATGTAATAGATTCATATATTCATAGATGCTAGGGCAGGAAGGACCTCAACAGATCATCGAGTCCAACCCCCTGCCTAGGCAGGAAAGAGGGCTGGGGTTAGATGACCCCAGCCAGATGCCTATCCAGCCTTCTCTTAAAGACCCCCAAAGGTAGGGGAGAGCACCACCTCCCTTGGAAGCCTATTCCAAATTTTGGCTACTCTTACTGTGAATAAGTTTTTCTTAATATCTAGCCTAAATCTGCTCTCTGTCAATTTGTGACCATTGTTCCTTGTTACCCCAAGAGGTGCCCTGGTGAACAGGGCATCTCCAACCCCTTGCTGCGTCCCCCTAATGAATTTGTTGGCAGTCACAAGATCACCTCTCAGCCTTCTCTTGTGGAGGCTAAAGAGGTCCAGGTCCCCTCAGTCTCTCCTCATAGGGCCTGTCCTGTAAGCCCCTGACTATACGAGTGGCCCTCCTCTTGAGTCTATCAACATCCTTCTTGAAGTACGGTGCCCAAAACTGGATGTAGTACTCCAACTGCGGTCTGACCAATGCCACATAGAGGGGAAGTATCACCTCCTTGGATCTATTTATCATGCATCTGTTAATGCATGATAAAGTGTGGTTAGCTTTGCTGATGATTTCATCACCTCATGTTCATCTTGGAGTCCACTATGACTCCGAGATCCCTTTCTACTTCTGTGCTGCTGAGAGGGTCGCTTCTCAGCCAGTACGTGTACTGGATACTTTTGCGCCCTAGGTCCAGCACTCTGCACTCGTCCTTGTACTGCATCCTATTGTGTTCTGCCCACTTTTCTAACCCGTCCAGGTCTCCCTGCAATCCTTCCCTACCCTCCAGGGTGTGTACTTCACCCCACAATTTAGTATCATCCACAAACTTGGACAGAGTACACTTCACACCCGCATCCAAGTCACTGATGAAGATATTGAAGAGTACAAGTCCAAGGACCAAACCCTGCAGGACCCCATGACCCACATCCTTCCAGGTCGATACCAACCCGTCTACTACCACTCTCTGGGTGCACCTGCTAAGCCAATTTGCCACCCACCAGTCCATGTAAGCATCTATGTCACAGCCTTTTAATTTATTTATGAGAATGGGATGAGATACCATATCGAAGGCCTTGCTAAAATCCAAGAAAACAACATCCACCTCTACTCCTGCGTCTAAGCATTTTGTGACCCTGTCATAAAACGAAACCAGATTGGTCAGGCATGATCTACCTGGTACGAATCCATGCTTGTTTCTCTGCTGCATTATTTTTCCCACTGGACTCCCACAAATATGATCCTTCATAATCTTTTCAAAGACCGTTCCAAGGATGGAGGTGAGACTGACTGGCCTACAATTACTCGGATCCTCCTTCCTCCCCTTCTTGAAAATAGGGACCACGTTGGCCCTTTTCCAGTCCTCCGGGACCTGTGCCAAGCACCATGAGCGCTCAAACAGCCGTACCAGTGGTTCTGCATTGCCCCGAGCCAATTCCTTCAGTACCCTTGGATGCAGCTCATCTGGGCCTGCTGGCTTGAACACATCCAGTTCATCCAAGCAACTCTGCACCAAGTCAGAGTCAACAGTTGGTAGGCTGGTGTCACTCTGATGCCCATCTAAGAACCCATTAGGACTTATCTTGAGCCCTGTTCAGGAACACCGAGGCAAAAAACTCATTGAAGAGCTCAGCCTTTTCCCCTGTCTGTCACTAATTGTTCCTTCTTGTTCAGTAGGGGTCCTATGCTGCCCTTCACCTTCCTTTTACTCCCTACATACCTAAAAAAAGACTTTTTGTTGTTTTTATTTTGTGTTGCCAGCCTCAGCTCTGTAGTTGCTTTGGCTTTTTTAACTGCCTCCCTGCAAGTGCGGGCCAAGTAGGTATGCTCCTTGGTAGCTTCCCCCTGCTTCCACCGCCTATATGCCTTCTTTTTTGCCCTTAGGCTCCCCTGGATTTTCCTGTTTAGCCAAAGAAGTTTTTTGGCTCCTTTCCCCCTTTTCCCTCATACTGGGATAGTCTCCCTCTGTGCCAGAAGGATCACTTCCTTTAGAAACGACCGCCCTTCCTGGACTTCCATCTCACCAATACTCTTATTCTGCGGTGTATCATTGACTAAGCTCCTGAGCCCATTGAAGTTAGCCTTCCTAAAGTCACGCACTTCCACCCTACTAGTTATCTTACCCACTCTAAGCCATATGGTGAATTCAATTGATTGGTGGTCACTGTCCCCAAGGTGACCACAAATCTGCAGCTCCTCTACCAGGTCCTCCCCAGTAGCCAACACCAAGTCCAGTAAGGCATTCCCCCTAGTGGGCCCGTATACTTCCTGTGTTAGGTGAAGGTCCTGCACGCAGGTTAAGAACCTACGTAAACGGTTGGATTTGGCTGACTGCTCCTCCCAGCACGTCAGGGTAATTTAGGTCCCCCATGACAACCACGTCCCTAGACCATATGGCCTCTGAGAGCTGCCTCGAGAACTCCAAGTCTAGCTTTTCTTCTTGGTGTGGTGGTCTGTAGCAGACCCCCACTACCAAGTCCCTTTCCTCTCGACCTCCATGTACCCTAACCCACAATGCCTCAACTTTCTCCTCCTCTGATCCCATTTTGATTAGGGTATATGTATAATGCTCCTTTACATAGAGAGCAACCCCGCCCCCTTTCCTCCCTACTCTGTCCCTTCTGTACAACCTGTAGCCCTCAATGTGTACCGCCCAGTCATGGGTAGGGTCCCACCAGATTTCTGTTAGCCCCGTTAGTTCCGTTAATAACTAAATCAAAGTTATTATTTGCAAGCAGAAGTGCGCGTTCTTCCTGCTTTTTCCCCATGCTCCTAGCATTAGTATAGAGGCACTTGAGCCCTCTGAATGGTGCCTTTGGTGCTCCCCCCGTTCTGATGCCCAAAGGGCCCCTTGTTACTTACCTGGGGTGTACTGCTGCATGTCTCAGTTTGTAGGTTCAATAGTTTAAAAAATATATTATACATCAAGTTTTAGTAACCTCTCTCTTTTTTGTTTTGTGCTGTTTTGCAGGGAGTTCGTCCTCCAATGTTACTGATCCTGTGAAAGCTCCATTAGAGCCACCTAAGCAGGAGCACATATCTTTATCTCCTACAGAAAACAAAAGTAAAGCCAAAGAAAATGGGATTGGATCATCTTCCCTACCAGACTTGACATACCTGCCAAAACCATCGGCTAGTAAGTAAAATAATGTGAGATATGTTTTTTAAAGGGGGAATGGATCTGTAGAGCTGGTTCATAATGATTCTCAATAACATACAAGCAAATGTAGCTTGTTCCAAACTGACTACTACCTGGTGTTTGCCTTTATTCTTAGGTAACAAAAACTCAAGTTCCTTTCTGACCTGTCTGTTCCTATCATTCTCACCACACAATATCCTATCCCTCCCTCTGCCTCTCTCATTTCTTTGAGAGATCCTGAGATTTTTATATTGCTGAAATTGAACTACTTGTCCTTCTCATTTGGGTGTCAGAACAGCTCTACATGTTCATCTTTGGTTCCAAATCCTGACAGACCCTCTTAAAAGGTTTCACCTGGTTTAGGGATCTTGGGAAAATAAATGAGGAAACTGAATTAGTAACCATGCTTGTAACCTCATAAAAATAACACACATTCCCCCATGAACTTCGTTTTCAGGTCCTGTTTTTAGGGAAAGTGCCTGCTCACTCCCATGTCCACCACCTCCCCCAGGTGACCTTATGAACTCCCTACAGTCAAACATCCCATCAAGTGTAAAGGTAAATCACATAGTACTGATTTGATGATGATGATGTTAAAATGCCTTTCATGCCATTCTGCCTTCCTTTAAGGAGAATCTGTAGGCCTGTATAAAACAGGAACCTGCTGAAAACAAGGACCCTGATTTTGATGTCACACAGCTTTGATATCAGTATAACTGCTGCTCTAAACTGGGTTATTTCTGATTGGTGCCATTGTAAGAAAAGAAACAGGATGATTAAGTCCATTGCATAGGACAAAGCCAAGCATAATTGAAAATGCATCTGGATGGCAATTGATTCCAAGAGAATGCCCAGGGTAGACCTGGATGCACAGAAGCTGAGGATGCTTTCATGTTATATTGTGCTGCGACCACACCACAAGCAGCTGCAAGAGTGGGTTATTGATTGTTAGAATGTGAAGACCAGTTCTTAACAATGTAGTGGGTTTGGGGACATTTATTAGAAATACTTTAATCTTTAGAAAAGCTTTAATCAACATTTCCCACTAGACCAGGGCAGGCAATTTTGGGTGGAGAGGCCATTTACTGAGTTTTGGCAAGCCATTGAGGGCTGAGTGACAGGGCAGATAAATATTAATTTTCTAAATTTTTGAGGAGCCCCGTGGGCCGAATAGAATGGCATGGCAGGCTGCATCTGGCCCGTGGGCCACATTTTGCCCACCCCTGCACTAGATCCTGACATTTTTAAAGCAAGTTCCATTTGAAGCCTCTAGCCCAATAAGCAGTGCTCAGCACAGCAGGATATGAGTTTCTGGAATAAGAAAAGTCTGCTGTTAATACAAGCAGTTTAAATCCAGCATTCCCTGATAAGGAATGAGCTTTGTATAAAGGAGGAGCTTTGTATGAGGAGCTGATTTACCAGAGCTGCATGCTTTTAAAGTTATTTTTCATTACATATGCAGGGACTATAATAGCCAGTGTAGCTGTTCATCCAGTAGAAGAGGAGCATAGGAATTATCAGACTGGAATGGGCATGGGGAGGACAAAAAAAAAATTTCAGCCAAGTCCAGATGCTTCAGACATAGGTGTAATGCTCTAATGAAATACCTATACACACAATATTATGTCCTGGGAGAACTTCCTCCTGATCCAGTTGCTAATTATTTAATGTCCTGAAACCTGAGAATTAATGGTTATTTTAAGTTTACCCTAGTGCAGTGATTTCCAACCTTTTTTCATTTGCGGATTCCTAAAAGATTTTGAATTGAGGTGCAGATTCCTTTGGAAATTTTGAATGGAGTTATGGACCCCTTTGAATTGTAAGTGTTGGTATTCATATAATTTTGATTGCTCATAGTCATCTTTTGTGGACCCCTTGGACATAGTCCGTGGACCCCAGGGATCTGCAAACCACAGCTTGAAAACCACTGCCCTAGTGCCTCTTTAGATGCCATTAATTCCTTACATAAAACATATGATTGTTTTAAACAAATCCAGCTGACTAAGCTATTTATTGAGAATAAGTCAAGGTAGAAGAAGGATAAGACATTTGTTTGAGATCTCTGTCAAATGTTAGTTATGCAAATGAAAATACTTCATGTCCAAACTTATATCTCTTGGCATACTCTGTAATTGCCCTGTTTTCAAAAAACAAAACAAAACAAAAACAAAAAACCCTCAACAAAGTCAGACATTTTCACTTCGAAATAAGATACATTTCAGTGAAAAGGATCCATTCTTGAGCCAAAAGAGTGATGTTCTACTCAAAACTGAGCAATATTTCAAGCAAAACTAAGTCTCACTTTTAAGTAAAGTTGGACCTACAACAAACTTGGGTAAAAGATACATTTTAAATTGTTTTCTATGCAAAATACCCAAGAAAAAATAGTTTCTGAACTGAGCTGCCAAAACAAAACTGGGGAACACACTGTGAGTGAGTCCGTGGGAAAGTTGTGTCACACAAGCCTTTTTTTTTTAGATCATATTGATCATCAGTTAAGTCATGGAAGAGAAGTTGTGGGGGTAGAAAATGTGGGAGTAGAAACGTCACCTGAAAGGCTGGGCAGAAAAGAGCCCTGGGTGTGTATTTCATAATTCTGGAGTTTCTGTAGAGGACTCACATACTCAGATTGTTTGTGCAGTGCCTATCAGCGTGGTATGCTGGTCCGTTATCAGAACTATGGTGATGATAACACTGCTGTCCAATAAGACATAAGGAGTTTATCTGTGTTAAATATACAGAGCTAGACTTCTTAGAGACTATCCACACTATCAGTTGGTTTTGAAACTGTGTTGTAATTAGGTGAGGGGGGTAATTATGTTGTTGTATCTGGGTCCCATGACTTGGCTATATCAAAAAGGTTTCTGAAACTCTTAGCAGAGAAAGAAACCACAGGTAGCCACTGTGTGAAACTTGTGTATAACTTGTTTCTTCTTTGGAATTTCTAGCCTTGTGGTTCTACCACTCA